TGAAATATGGAATTGTAACTGGAGAGAAAAGAATTAAGAGAGTTTATTTTTATTTAAGATTACATATACTGAGACTTGATGGGAATAATCCAGGAAGGTAGAAGAATGTGGATTCATAGGTGAGTGAAATGGTAAGTTCATATTTCATTGTGTGATTGGTATAATCCTGTTTCATATTATTCTGAAAATTTATCTTCCATAGTCTCACATTTTTATTATATCAGGTTAATTTTAGAACCATTTGGTTTCCCTGCTATACTCTCTTCCAAGAAATGACTGTGTATCTGAGAATTAATATAAAATCCAAACAATGATATAGGAATATCTGAAATGTTAATAGCATTTGGTATTTTCATCCTGCAGCCTTGACTGCCTGTTTCTTTAAGTCTGTGCTAAAACTATAAAGTGGTTTTAGCCTGGTGGGGATGGGAGAGGGTCCCTGATGAGAACGACATGGTGAATGTGTAAGATTTACTGTCTACTCTGGCAAGTCATCGTAACATGTAGAACACAAGTTTAAAAAAAAAAAAAAGCTGTCAACAGGTGATTTGGAGAATGAAGACAGAGAGTTGAGAGGTAAACAGCAGCCAGGGCAACAGAGGAAGAGACAGCTATAAGTGGAAGGAGAAATTGAGTATGCAGAATGCCCAGGGGTCTAGGATATGGGGCAGAAAAGAATACATGCTATAGGCTAAATGGTCTGGCAAAATCATAACTCTCAAAATGGAGTTCTGGGAAAGGGTTATTAAGCTTGGAGTTTATTAAGGATGGAAAGAATATGAAGAACTATGGAGTATGAACAAACTTGCCAGAAGTTTACTATAAAAAAGGGCAGTGAAATATGGAATTGTAACTGGAGAGAAAAGAATTAAGAGAGTTTATTTTTATTTAAGATTACATATACTGAGACTTGATGGGAATAATCCAGGAAGGTAGAAGAATGTGGATTCATAGGTGAGTGAAATGGTAAGTTCATATTTCATTGTGTGATTGGTATAATCCTGTTTCATATTATTCTGAAAATTTATCTTCCATAGTCTCACATTTCTATTATATCAGGTTAATTTTAGAACCATTTGGTTTCCCTGCTATACTCTCTTCCAAGAAATGACTGTGTATCTGAGAATTAATATAAAATCCAAACAATGATATAGGAATATCTGAAATGTTAATAGCATTTGGTATTTTCATCCTGCAGCCTTGACTGCCTGTTTCTTTAAGTCTGTGCTAAAACTATAAAGTGGTTTTCTTGTATTCCAAAGAGCATGGTATCAGGGAACCCTTTGAGAATCTCTGCTGAATGGCTTGAGAAGAGTGGCACTTTGGTAAATTATTAGTTGTCTATACTTCTTTTATTGGTACATAAAAGGAATTGATAATGTCACAAGAAGAATATGTTAGTACAAGGGTCCATTAGAACGCAATTATTCATATACAACAAAAGAAGTGAAGAAAGGTGAGACTTATATTTCTCTTAACATTTTGTTCTTCCTCATGAGAATGTTTGCATCCTTGCTACTCCCAGTAAAGAAGTTCCTTTCAGAATACTAATTGACAAAATAAAAGCTGTAATTGGACCACTGTCAATCATCTTAATACTTTAGAGAGTGGGAGGCCCACTAAGCTAGGTGAGGGAAAAGCAGTGACTATGCTGTGTTCTCAGAAACTGATTAAATCAATCTCTTTATCCATTCCATTTAACATGGGGAGAGAGAGGAACTTGAAGGAACTTTGAGTTTACCAGCAGATGCTAAAAACTCAGGGCAGGAAAAGGGCAATTAAGTATCAACCTTAATATCAATTAAGATAAACTGATGTTATCTTGAGAAATAATTAAAAGAGGCTTGTTAAAAAAGTTCTTCTGTCACTGTTTGTTGGAGTATGAATCTTCTGTTTATTATTATTATTATTATTATTATTATTAAACATAACTATGAATTAATATGGGCTTCCCTGGTTGCTCAGCTGGTAAAGAATCTGCAATGTGGGAGACCTGGGTTTGATCCCTGGGTTGGGAAGATCCCCTGCAGGAGGGCATGGCAACCCACTCCAGTATTCTTGCCTGGAGAATCTCCATGGACAGAGGAGCCTGGCTGGCTGCAGCCCATGGGATCACAAAGAGTCAGACACGACTGAGAGACTAAGAACACACTGAGCACATGAATTAATATGGGCACCAGCATGAAGCATATTACTTGATCTTTGACTACAGTGTTCACCTAAAACAGTGACCCATCAAATGTTCACTCCCCAAGCTAGGTTGTACATCAAAATTTTGATATGTTACTTTATATGAAAATTGAAGTAATTAGCTCTTCTGTATAAGAGTAATTTCCCATTCTCTCTGCAAGCAAATTTCAATAAGAAATTGGTAAGATGGGAAATAGATCTATAACATGTACATAGATTTTTTTTTAGGTAGCACTATATTATAGGGATATACTGTACATCAAAACAAGTTATTTTGTCTTATGTCTTTGATGCGTTTTTGTTCTCCACAGGATTGACTAGAATGAGAAAGTGACTAAACATTGTAATAAAACATAATGTACCTAACTCAGTATTTTACATTAGTCATGTATGAATTAGTCATTTGGGAAATTCTATCTAATTTTTGAGACAATGTGAAAATAAAACTGAAAACTGAGACATTTACATTCAATCAGTACTCTAAAGGTCTTCCCAGGTGGTGCTAGTGGTAAAGAACCTGCCTGATAATACAGTAGAAGTAAGAGACATGAATTTGATCCCTGGGTTGGGAAGATCCCCTGGAGGAGGACATGGCAACCCACTCTAGTATTCTTGCTTGAAGAATCCCACGGACAGAGCAGCCTGGTAGGCTAGAAGTCCAAAGACTCCAGCATGACTGAATGAATTGAGCACATATGCACTACTCTAAGAGATACTAGCAGAATTAGCATGCATCGCCTTAATATAAGAAAATTTTTAATTTTTCTTAGAACAAAGCATCATTTAAAAGCTCAGTCTAAGAAAGTCATCACAGAACGTTACTATTCTCATTCAAACCACTGAAGCCTTATTTTATTACTGTTTCTCTGCATAGATTTAGCATTATAGCAGTATTAAACACATATACGGGAATAAATTCTGTTGGTATTTTTATTAGGATTTACATTAAATTTGCAAATTACTTCAGGGGAAAACTGATATCTTTATAATATTATAATATTGCTTCTATCTGAGGGCAGTTTTGTTCTAATTTTTCAAGTTTTCATTTGTGTACTTCAGGAGTATTCTGAAGTTTTCTTCATACTGGTCTTGTACATTTCCTAAGTTTATTCCTAGGTATCTCATCCTTTATCCTACCTTTAAATAGCCTGCTTCGGGTCCTGTGTGCTTCTCTAGTTACTGATTCTAAACTTTATGTGAAGAAACCTAGAATATTCAGAAATACTCTGAATGAAGTTATGAAGGGAGATTAACACAAACATATAAAAATATATAAAGTCCTGATAAGCGGAAGAGTATAGCACTGGAATATTTCTAGTGAGACTGACCAATGAAACAGAAAGTCAAAAAATAGACCCAAAAATATGGGAATGATCTAATGTATCTAAAATCAGTATCTCAAATCAGTGGGTAAAAAGATGTGCTGTTTCATGAAAGATGCATTTGGAAAAAATAAAGATGGAATCATATTTTCCATTATACACCAGGACAAGTTCTAAGTAGAGCAAATGTTAAAATGTCAAGATATTAAAATCATAAAGTTATTAGAAGAAAAATGGGAGCTTTGATTTCAGATTTTAGAAGGTCCTTTCAACTATTCCTAAAATTGAGAAGCCATAGAAAAAGACTAACAGATTTGATACCTGAACATAAAATTAAATTCTTCATTAAATAATATGAGCAAAGTTGACAATACAATGGGAAAAAAAATTTTGTAACTCATATCAGAAATGATAGGCTAATTTCCCTAGTACATATAAAAGCTTCTAGAAATCAAGAAGAAAAAGACCAATGAAAAAATGTTTAGTTTATGTTCAGTGTAAAATGGACTTTTTATAGAAAAAATAAATACAATTAATCCCTATACAAATGAAAAATGCTCTATCTCAATCCTAAGTAGAGAAGTACAAATACGCAAAAAATGCAAAAAATATGCAAAAATGCAAAAAAAAAAAAGTCTGAATGACATACTTTTAACTTTTGAATTAACTTTTTGAATTAATTTTTAATTCATGCTGATAGACATGAATTCAAAAATTCATGACTCATATCAATGTATGGCAAAAGCCACTACAATATTGTAAAGTAATTAGCCTCCAACTAATATAAATAAATGAAAAAAAAAAGGAAAAAAAAATTCATGTTGAGCTACATGAATTTTTTAACCAGAAATCTTATTGGACCCTAAGCCCTATGGAGAAATTTTGCACTTTTTGACTAATGTAAAGTATTCAATTGGGCCTCCCAGGGTGGCACTAGTGGTAAAGAACCTGCCTGCCAATGCAGGAGATGAAAGAGACATGGGTTCAATCCCTGAGTCAGGAAGATCCCGTGGAGGAGGGCATGGCAACCCACTCCAGCATCCTTGCCTGGAGAATCCCATGGACAGAGGAGCCTGGTGGGCTACAGTTGATGGGGTCACAAAGAGTCAGACATGCCTAAAGCAACTTTCTGTTTGCAATGCGGGAGACCAGGGTTTTATCCCTGGACCAGAAAGATCCCATGCAGAAGGGAATGGCAACCCACTCCAGGATTCCTGCCTGGAAAACCCCATGGACAGAACACCCTGGTGGGCTACAGTCCACTGGGTCACAAAGAGTCAGACATCACTGAGCACACACACAATCATTAATAGAAATGAGTAGATCGAAGAAATTATGATACATATAGAGGGAGAGGATGAATTCAACAAGGCAACTTCCAGGCAGAAACAGTCAGTAGGCATGAGACAAACAGAACTGGAATTAGGGACAGAAAAGTCACAAAAAGTACATTTAAGATACACAACTGCATTAACAAATAACACCTACCAGCCATTTTTCATATTCCTCAAGAGCTTGTTTATCTTTTTCTTTTTTCTCAGCTCTTTTCAGTTCTTCTTTTCTCTTCTCATGTATTTTTACTTTTTCCTTCTCCTTGAAAAAAATTTCCTTTTTCTCATTCCTATGTAAGATAGTATAACACATTGGCAAGTTAAAGGAGAATATATAATAAAGATTCCCCAATGTGTCTCTGCGATAAGATTAAGTACATTAATAACATTCAAGTAAATGAATTTTAGAAAATCCTAAAGTGTTACTAATTTCAGATCTATCAAAACATTTGCTATTTTAGATTACCATTTTTCAACAGCAGTTAAGTTATCTTTTCTTTTCTCAGCAACAGTTTCCTCCTCTTTCTGTTTCTTTGCTCTTTCATATTCTTTCTCTTTTTTATTTTTCTCCTTAAGGTATTCCATCTTTTTCGCTTTCCATTTTTCAAAAGCCTGAAAAAGTTAAGAACTACCTTCTTATTGAATGTGAATATAATAAAATAGTAAAAGTACAGTTAATCATTAATTTTCAAATACTTAAAATTAAGAAAGATATTAAAGCTATTGCATACTTGCAGTGCTTCTCCTTTTCTCATAGCATTTTCTTCTTCGGTTTTCTTTTTGTTTTTTTCCTCAAGCCTTTTTTTTGCAGCTATCTTCTTTGCTTCCTTTTCTTTCATGGCTTTCCAGGCCTCAAATGATGCTAAGGCTTCTTCTCTCTTAGCAGCTCTTTTCTATTTTGGAAAAATAATAGTCATATGTGTATGTATTAATATAAATTGACAAATAGACATAGATATACATGTAAGTATGTGTCTTTATTTTCCTTAATGTTCATCAAGTTAGGTTTCAAAGCAATCGATTTAGAAAAATTAATTTATAAAAAAATGGTATCTGAATTATTCACTGTATTTTTTTTTCCATTTAGTTTTATTAGTTGGAGGCTAATTACTTTACATAATTGCAGTGGTTTTTGTCATACATTGAAATGAATTAGCCATGGATTTACATGTATTCCCCATCCCAGTCCCCCCTCCCACCTCCCTCTTCACCCGATCCCTCTGGGTCTTCCCAGTGCACCAGGCCCGAGCACTTGTCTCATGCACCCACTGTATTTTAAAATGTCCTTTTCTAAGCACTTCTCAGATATTGATCTACTACCATGCATGGGAAGGAACCTTTTTTGGGAAGTGCACTGAACAAATATTTTCAGAGTATACCAAAATAGGTTAATTGGTACTGCAAAGTGCTCATAATGAAATATTGCATTAAAAGAAAAACATCAGCAAAGTTACAGGCCAGACAGGTAATTTAAAATTTTTTGTAATTACTAGTTTTACCTCTTTCTTTAACGTATTTCCGTTTAAAATTACAGTCAAAGTAAGATAAATTGGCCAAGTCACACAGAAAGCCACAGGTCTTTGCTTTAACCCTGAATTTTGACTGACATCAGAGCATACAATTCTTACTGCATAAACATGTCCCAAATGTTGAAAACATGGGCCAGACTGGAAAATGTTATTACTTTACTTACTTCAGTCTAACCCCATAATATTCTGCTTGCCTTATAATACTGCTTAGCATCAAATGCTATAAAGTCTTACTACAGAGATAACATAATTTAGAAGGAGGAGTATGGCCACCCTCACTGAGCTGTGAAGACCAAACGAGGTGTCCAGCACTGAGTGTGGCAGACCAAGCTCAAACATGTTGCAGCGTCCAGGCACCCCCTGCAGGGCTGCTCCACTCAGCACATCTATTCACGGTAGTGTTAAAAAACACAAAGAAGGGCTGGCTTTGTTGTGTTCTGTTATCTTCAGTGGTTTTACTTCAGAAGATGAGAAACAAATAAGCATGTTGTAGGCTATGGGGCAGGAGATAGAGGCAGAAAGTGAAGTACAAGTGAGATTGAAATGAGAGCCCAGTTCCATTCAATGGGAAGGTCAGGGGCAATCACTCAGGTAGAGGTTGGTCTTAAAGACACAAAAAATTTCAAGACAGAAAAGAGGACAACTGAAGGTTAATGTCTGAAGACCCTTTACATTCTTGGCTAAGTTGTAATAGTGAATTCAGTTTTTAAGAAGGAAATAGGTACATGGTCACAAGAAAAAATATGTTCATAATCAATAGTGCCAAAGCTATTGCACACATATAAGAAAATCTGTATATCTATGTTTTCATGTAAACCAGTTATATTTATATCAACTAAAAATGAATAAAGTACTAGAGAAATAAAATCAGAAATCATTTTTATATACAATTTATTTCACCTTTTAAAAACAGTTGATTTAAAAATATTAAGCATTCAGAACTATTTTACTAACTTAAAAATCCAGAATATTTTTCATTTCTATATTTCAGAATACCTGTTCATTTTGAATCCTTAAGTTTTCACTTTCAATTCTTTTAATTCTGTGCATCTCATGTAAATAAATATTTTTCTTTTCTAACCACTCCTGTGAGAAGAAGAAAAAGGCGATTTGTTATGCAAAGTTTCACAAATGAATTAGAATTCTTATTTCTGAAATATATAAAACTTAAAAAAACCCAAAACCTAAACCTTACAAACTTTATATGTGCTAATATCATTCCTTTTTCTGATACTATTTTAATATATAACAATATATAACAATGAGCAAGAATTAAGAAAATCATATGTATGTTATCTTTCTCAGTATTAGGAACAGATTTCAAAGACTAAATATGATGACTGCATATATTAACATTTTCTCTGAAATTCACATGGACAATTTTCTAAAATACAATGTATTTTATATAACAGATAAGACCAAAAAAGACATCTGTTTTGAATTTTGAAAAATTAGAAAAGCTTTTTTCTAAGTAAGTTTAACTGAAATACAAAAAGTCTCAGGAAAGAAAAAAATATTAAAACACTTTTGCTCAAAACAATATAAACTTTAAGTTGAAAAAGTATAAAAACATAGACATACCTTAACTATATTTTCCTTTTGTTATATTTTTATCAATTGCAATGGCAAATTATCTTTTTTTTTTTCCATTTATTTTTATTAGTTGGAAGCTAATTACTTTACATCATTGCAGTGGTTTTTGTCATACACTGAAATGAATTAGCCATGGATTTACATGTATACATGTATATTATCTAGGGTGAAACAGATCACCAGCCCAGGTTGGGTGCATGAGACAAGTGCTTGGGCCTGGTGCACTGGGGAATACATGCAAATTATCTTTCTTTACAATTATGATCAGTTAAGCAAAGTTTAAAGTAGGCCCAGTGGCTCAGATGGTAAAGAATCTGTCTGCAATAAGGGAGACCTGGGTTCAGTTTCTGGGTTGGGAAGATCCCCTGGAGAAGGGAATAGCAACTCATCCCAGTATTCTTGCCTGCAGAATTCCATGGACAGAAAAGCTTGGTGGGCTACCATCCACGGGATTGCAAAGAGTTAAACATAACTGAATGACTAACACACACACACACAAGCAAACTTGGAGAAGATTTGGATTGCTCAGGCATTATAAAGGAAATGGATTAATAAATCATTTCTGACAGTTCAGTTTATTCCCTGATAAAAAAATCTTATGTGATTAATTTTAATTTTAAAAAATATATATTTTCCTTTTTACCTGATAAACAGTTGCCCTTAGGTTATCTGCTCTGTCAGGTTCTGTGTTCTGTTTCTGTGAGGGCTTTTGGTCCAAGATTCTCAAAGTCCCTAAATAGTGAGAAGCTGGAGCTGTCGACGGAGTCCTCCTTAGAGAACTAGGCTTCTTTAAGAACTCAGAGGTCATTAATCTGAAAAGATCCAAATGCATCAAGATAAACTATTACAATTACACTGGTACTGGTACACTAGTACACTGAAAATGATGTGGTATTTTATTTATTAGTACACAAAGACCCCTTCAACATAATTTAAATTTTATTACCTTAATTTATATATAGCTTCAAAATAATTTTTCTTTTCAGGTTATTTATAATTAAAACATTTTTAAAAACATGGACTCAAGTTACATGGGAAAAAACAATACTAATAAGTAGGTTTTAATAGTTTCTTGTATTATTTTGACTTATTGCTGCCGCTGCTGCTGCTGCCGTTTAGTCGCCAAGTCATGTTCAGCTCTGCGACCCCATGGACTGTGGCCCACCAGGCTCCTCTGTTCACGGGATTTCCCAGGCAAGAATACTGGAGTGGTTGCCATTTCCTTCTCCAGGGAATCTTCCTGACCCTGGGATCAAATCCCTTCTCCTGCATTGGCAGGCAGATTCTTTACTGATGATCCACCAGAGAAGCCCCATTTTGCTACATAAACCATCTTAAATATAAAGTTAGACTATTAACCTCTAACTTAGGGTTGATGGGAAATCTGGCTCACGATCTCTTCTGGTATACAAAGTTATTACACCACGACTATTTCATTTATTTTCATAATGCCAACAGTGGCCTCCCTACTACAACAGCAGGTGAGAGTAATCACAACAGAGGCCATATGGCCTATAAGACCTGCCATAGGTACTAACTGGCAAATTCACAGAAAAAGTTTGCCGATCCCTCTTCTATTTGAGTAATGATAATTTTTTTTTTCTATTTGAGTAATGAAAATGTAAAAGATGCAGAAGGTTTTGATTAGCACTTATGAGTTAGACATCAGTGTGAATGATGATTAGTTCTTATCATTTTAATAAACCAACTTAGTGCATAGAACCTCAAAGTTTAAAGTATAATTTTACATGCGTTGGACAAAGACACTTAACAGAAAAGGTGAATGCTTGACTTCAGCTTTATTACTACTTTATATCTACTGCCTCAGGAAAAATAGGAGAAAGAAATTCCATCTCATGAGCAATGTAGAACATAGAGGATCCTTAATCAATCCCTTTTATAAAAGAATACATGCAACTAAGGGGATTGATCATGAAGTAACTAATTCATTCTCCTCATAAGAGGAAAATTAAGAATACCAAATGAAATTTACTTTCAGAAGTTAAACTAAAACTTGCTTTGTTGAAATATAAACCTATAATTGAAGGAAAATGATAACTTTATTACCTGCCAGATGCACTAGATGCTCTATTATTTGTTGATTTTTTATTCTTCATAGTTCTATCTTGAATTGCTTTCTAGTAAATAGAAAAAGCAAAAGATTACTCACTGTATATATCACACTTATAGTTAGAGGCGAACTGCTAGAAAGTCAATGTTTTTTGAGCATCTACTATGTGTTCAGCATTGCGGTCACAAGGAACAAATAAGGGTATCACATTTCAGGGAAACTGACTGATACTAAACACATAAATAATGTGACTCATGAAAGTGATAAACTAGGGTGTAATGGCAGTGACAGAGTAGAGTTGAGGAGCTACTTTAATGCAGGTGATCAGGGAAGGGCCCCTGAAGACGTGACATCAGAGCTCAGACAGATGATGGATAGAAAAGGGCCATGTGACACTCTGGGGAGGACTTGATAGTTGTGAGAAACAGACCAGTGAAAGGTGCTGAGACACAGTGAGCGGCAGGGGGAGCTGAGGAGCGTAAGGTCCAGAAAGAACCACGAGAGATCTCCAGGCAGTGGGGAGGAGTCCGCATTGCATTCCATGATGAGAGCCCAATGAAGAGACCTTAGAGGGGAATGACTTATTCAGACTTAAAATCACTTGGTAATGAGTAAGAATAAAGCCAAAGATTCAATCAAAAGAAATATGTTATAATCTTACTTGTTTTATATAAATTGCCTGTTCTAATTTAAATCACCTGTTCTATATAAATTGCCTGTTAAACATTTCCAAAACCTTGTCTTTAAATCCCAGAATATCCTTCTTCCTTTTAAGGAATGACTTTTCTACTTTACACAGGCAGACGGATGCCAGCACTAACGTGAGAGCACAGCTGTACACACATCCCTAACTTGGCATTAGTTTTTCCTAAGGAAAATGGTTAAGGAAATATACCTGGAATATGTCTTAATGGACCTTCTCCTTAAAATGTAGTGAAAATCTAATACCCTGTATTATAAAAGTCCTGTTCAACCACAAGTTTTCAGATAACTGTTAATTTCCCCAATAGTAAATATACATAGCCACCAGTTAACTGCAGGAGAAACTGGATAAAGAAAACTCAGGAGAAATAGAGACTAAAATTGCTCCACCATAAATTTTAACAGTATAGCACTCTAGAGAAATATAGTATATTGCTGTTTGTTGTTCAACTCTTTGCGACCCCATGGACTGTAGGCTCCTCTGCTCATGGGATTTTGCAGGCAAGAATACTGAAGTGGGTTGCCATTTCCTTCTCCAGGGGATCTTCCCAACCCAGGGGCAAACCCGTGTCCCCTGCATTGGCAGGCAGATACTTTACCTCTCAGTCACCAAGGACGCCTGCAATATTGCACAGGGACAAGTAATCCCACATATCACAAATCTGGTTCTCAATGTAATGATAATAATATTCCTGGTAATGACCCTGTCCTTCCATTTAAATAGGCATGGATGCTGATACATAGTTCTTAAATGATTTTTATTTTTAAATTTTTTAAAGCATTTAAAAAGATAACCAAAGGAATATGTTTCACTAATCCCAAACCCTCAGAAATTATTCCCGCCAGCTATATTTTTATAACATGAAGACCTATAGAAATCAACCCACTTCTGGGTATGTATTTCTGAAACATTTAAAAGAATATTATGATCATACACCTCTGAAAATTTTAATGAAATGCTGGGTTTTACTGTACTCACTTCAACACTTCTCTGAAGTGAAAATTCTACTGAATATGGACCACATGACCGTATAATACCACTATTAAAAGACGAGTCTCACACAGATAATTCAGAAGTACCTAGCATGCAAGATAAAATACTTAAGAGTTTTACTTTGAGTTTTAAGGTGCAGTATAGAAGGTACAATTTTATATAGATACCTTTGAAGACTCAGTACATAAGACACTCTGAAGTTGTAGTGGTGGTGGCTCTTCAGCTGTTAAGCCATCATGCATAATCAGCTCAGCTTTCTCCTTTTCTTCTCCAACGTCACCAACAGTCACTTGACTTTCCTTGGGTTTCTCAAGTGCAGTACTGACAAAGTCTATCAAAAATGAGGTCTTTTCATTTTTGGTTGATTTCAAGGAATTATGGCTTTCAGTGCATTCTTCATTCTGATATACTTTGTGACAAAGTAACAGAATTAAATCTCCCTTCTGAATTAATGAGGTGGTTAACTGATTCATTTGCTTTCTGCTAAATGAAAACAGTCTCTGATCTTTCTTGCAAAATAGAAATGGAGAAACCATACTCAACTTGAATAAACATTTTTCCAAAGTAATCTATAACAGAAAAATCTACTAAAGCATTTGGTACACCTCAGGAAAATATCATATAAGTCAATAGAATGGAATAACCATCCTGAAACATAGAAATGTCACAAATGTTTGTATAAATCAAGTAAGTGAGATAGCAATATCTATTCTATTTAAAAGCCTGTGTTTCTTAGCTGGAACCAAAGGCATAGATCTCTAAGCTACCACAGTTACTAGCAATGCAGTTGTGAAATTGTACAGACACAGAGAAAACCAAGAATCAATGCAATTCTAGAAGAGTCTACCGCACAGAGAATAAGGTCATCTGCCAGAGTTTTACTCCCACTAAGATGCAGTGTTGCCTCTGATAACAAAAGGGCAGGAATGGAAGGCCTAATACTCACCATCTCAGTGCTCAAGGGACAGGCTCTGGCATGGAGGATTCAGTTTTGCTTTTACAGAATTGCTTCTACTGTTTTGATTCTATCACACTTTAGAATGTACAACAGAAAATCAGTGCTTTCTGTGCTGCTCACCAACTTTCAGTTCTACTAGTACCTGGCCAAACCTGTATCTTTACTGTCAAAGTCTGAATGCTGAGGCTTTTGTTACAGCCATTTTTTGGGGAGCTCATTTTGAGGTAAGCTAGATAAAATATGACTTTACAATTACAATTACATGTTCATATTTGGACAGTACTCATGATTCAAAGTATCAATAATGGATTCTGCTAATCAATGTACTCAGTGAAAAGGACAAGGACTTTGGAGCCAAAGATTCAAATTATGGCTCCATCACTGACCTTGGGTATGTTTCCCAATATCTTTGCACTTCAGTTTTTCTCATCTGTAAAATGATAAAAATTATACTACGCAGTAAGCACTTAATAAATGCGAATTATACATACCAACCTTAGAAACAGTTATGCCTTTATATGTCATAGGACTAAGGAAAGAAAGAATGTTAACTTATTCATACCTCACACTTACTGTGTGTTAACTACAGTCCTGTTATATGTGCTTTACATGTATTAATTAATTTAATTCATACAACCACTCTACTCTTATGCGCATTTTAAAGATCACTATACAGGGCCAGCAAGGTTAGTTACCTTCTCATGTACCTTGTACCTGGATTTAAGTCCACCTTAGTCTCAATTTAAAAGTTCACCTAACCATTATGCTGAGTATTGGAGCAACAAATACATAATAATAGCTCACCCTGAGCTACTTATGTCAAGAATTGACTTACTGGCTAAAATGCATAGCATCATTTAATTTTCACAATAGGCTAATGAGGTTGATTATTATAACTTTGGGGATTGAGGCAATTTCTCTTAAACTGAGAGATTAAGTTCTGCATCTATAATCACAAGGTTAGTAAATTGCATCATTGAGATTAAAACTCAGGCAAACATAAACATATATCGTTCCTGTAACTATGTGAAGTGTTACTCCTTTGGCATACTTCTATGGCATTCTAAGCAATACAGAAGTTCAAAAATAAAATAAGGTAGGATACTTTGATATAATCACCTGTAATGGAGGCTTTTTCCTCAGATCCTAGTGAAAAGGAATCTTTAAGATTTTCTTTAACAGATGATGATGGTATACTTGTTAACCATGGATCCTATTTAAAGAAACTATGAAAGTTTAGTTCCAAGATTTGTGGAGGGCAATAGCAGTATTAAGACTACTTCAGAACTCTGAAATATGCATCATTAGTTTTCTACTGAAACAGCATAAGGGTTAAGTCAAAGCAGGTGATAATATACTTTACTTTCAAGTTAAGAGCTCTTTCAGTTCTTTAACTGAAACTTATAAATCCATCTTTAGCAATTTTCAAAACTGCTGCTGCTCTAAAATCAAATCTCAGAAATACTTAAGTATTTGACATATCTTTCTCTAAGTACATACTTTCTAAGAAAGCATAAAGATCGTAGGTCAAAAACCCTTAGTTTGAAACGAATATTAATAGTTGTTCAAACAAAAGCAATTCATAAAACCAAGTGCATGTGTGTGTGTGTTCTTGTTTCAGCCATGTCTGAATCTTTGTGACTCTATGACTGTAGCTCACCAGGCTCCTCTGTCCATGGGATTCTCCAGGCAAGATTATTGGAGTGGGTTGCCATTTCCTCCTCCAGGGAATCTTCCCAACCCAGGGATAGAACCTGCATCTCCTTTATCTCCTGCATTGGCAGGAGGGTTCTTTACTACTAGTGCCACCTGGGAAGCCCAAAAATCAAGTAGCTATTTCCAAATATTTTAGATTAGAAAGTACATAGATTTCATGCACTTTAGTTTTCCTCAAAATTACTATATCTGAAATAAAATCATCATATACGAAATGAAGCAATTATATTTGTGTTCCTATATTAAACATCTCTTTATAGGATAATACTCTAGTCTAAGGGTGATGATACTATAAGAAGTTTGATTTTTATTATAGAAAAATTTTTATTTTTTTCCCATATATTTAATGTCAAAAGCAATAAAGAGAAAGCACCTGGGAAGATGGCAGAAGGGCTAAACACTGGAGTTTACCCTAAGAGACGAAGCTTTACCCAAGGAAATTTGCAAGTCAGTAGCTTTTCTCCTCAGGAAACTTCCCCAAATGTGTAGCTCAAGTAGCAGTAGGCTGCGACCCTGCCAGACTTGCTTGAGGAGTCAGAGAATAGAGTCTAGGAATAGAAGATCAGCCGATAAATTTGGGCAGAGGGCAAGAATGCCAAAATTGGCATATAAAATCCACCTCAAACCCTTGGCTCAACTACGCATGGCATGGAAAAGACCTCAGAGGGCCCTGTAAAACTGTAGTAGCTAGAAAGTAAAAAAACTAAGCAGACGTTTTAGTCAATGTCCATGGCAAGGGAGACAGAGTTAGAAATTTAAGTCTGGCCATAAAATCAGTAATGATAGAACACGTGTTCAGAGAAACATAATAGAACCCCAAATTTCTACAACATATCATCCATAATATTCAGTATTCAATAAAAAAATTAAGTAACAGAAAACAGTGATTTATACTATGAAAACAAACAACAAAAACAGTCTATAGTAACCAACCCAGAGATGACCCAGATATTGCAATTTGCAAACAAGAACTTTAAAGTAGGTATCATAAATATCTTCAAGCATTTAGGAGGAAAAATATATACATAGTGGTGGAACAGATGGATATCTTGTTATTAGATACAGAAAATACAAAAAAAAAAAAATTGGAAATTCCAGAGTTGAATAGTACCAAAATTAAAAAAAAAAAAAATTACTGATAGACTTAACAGCCAATCAGATACGGTAGCAAAAGGCAGTGAACTCAAAGTCTTTGAAGACAGAATTTGAAGAAAACAAAGGGTGGAAAGACTGAAGAAACATGAACATGAACATGAGAGATTGGTGAGACATATCAAAAATTTCAATACACTAGACCACAAACGAGAGAAAAGAAAATGAAACAGAAAAAAAAAAAAAACTAACTTCCCATTTTCATGGAAAATACCAGTTTACAGATCCTGACACTTCAACGAAATCCAAGCAGGATAAATATAAAGAAAAGCTACACCTAGGTACCTTGTAGTCAAATTATTGTAATTCAAAGAAGAAAGACAAAGTCTTAAAAAAAAAAAATTCAGAAAGCTGTCAGAAAAAAAAAAAACAAAACCCAAAATGTTATATAATGAGTGCAAGAAGATAAATTTCTGCTGATTTTCTAACAGAAATCATAGAGGTCAGGAACAATGGAAACCTATAAAGAGCTGGAGGTAGAACTGTCAGCCAAGTACATATTCAGCTGTCATCCTTCAAAAATGAAGATAAACTGAATTTTTTTAGATAAGTAAAGATTGAGCAAAGCTGTCACTGTCTATAATACAAGAAAAATAAAAATAGGTTCTTAAGATTGAAGGGGAATAACACTAGAAGGAGTATGAAGCTAAAGGAAGAAATGAAGATCCTTAGAATGGTATATACCTTAGAACTGAATATAAATCTAAGAAAACTACAAATGTTTATTCTAGTTTATTCTACTCTTTTAATTTTTTAAAAGTCTAAGACTAAAAGTTTAAAATCATTCATCATAAAATAACCATTTGGTCAAAAAAGAGATCACAATAAAAATTAGAAAACATATTTAAAGGAATGATAATGAAAATAAATGGCATCAAAAATGGTGCTGCTAATCAGCACATTAGAGGAAAATTCATAGTTTTTAAAAGTTTTGATAGAAAAGATGAAAAGCTTAAAATGAAGGGACACATTTTCTAACTTAAAGATAAGTAAATTAAAACCAAAGAAAATCCAAAGAAAATAAAAGCAATAAAGAATAAAGAATAAAAATCAGTGAAACTGGAAACAAACAATAGAGAAAACTAACAGTCAACATTGGTTCTTAGAAAAATTTTAACAAAACTGACCAATTTAACAAGAAAGACAGAAAACACAAACTATACATTAGAGATGAAAGATGGAATGTCATGATAATTTTATTGCCATTAAAAGCATAAGGGAATATCACAAACAACTTTATAAATTCAGCATCTCAGATAAAGTGGTCAAATTTCTAAACAGACATAAATTACTAAACTGATGAAGTAGCAAATCTGAATACCAAAGTATCTATCCAAAACAAGAAAAAAGTCAAATTTATTATCAAAGACTTGTCCACAAAGAAAATTCTAGCCCCAGATAATTTTTCTGGTGAATTCTCCCAATTACAGAAAAAATGATACCAAATTTTTGGTCTCATACTAAATTTTAGAAAACAAAGAGAAAGAGACACTCCCCAGTTCATATGATGCCCATGCCTGACAATAACACTTTAAGGAAAAAATTATAGTCTGCCTGCATAAACACAGATGTAGAAGTCTTAACAAAATATTAAGAAATGAAATCTCACACTAAAATAACCTACTATGACTGACCAGATTTTATCCCAGAAATACTGAGTTAATTTAACAGAAAACTATAGATATGTATCATCATACAAACACACACACGAAGCAAAGGTAGGAAGTGAGGCTAGAGCAAAAAAGAAAGTGTCATCCTTTCCACATCTAGCTATGACACTTGAGGGAAAGTAAGGCAGTAGAGAGGTGCAGTGTCATGTAAGAATTCACACACAGTTTAAGAGACATAAGCATAGCTGAATGTGGATAACAGACCCTTCCAGAGGCAAAGATTATGGAAACAGGAGAGAGAAAGGTAGGACAAAAAATTAATGGAAATCCCTGAAAAGGTAGGCTTAAAGAAGACTCACAGCATGCTCAGGAAAATTTTATAATGAGGAATAAGGAAATTTTAAATTATTAAAAACAAAAGTATCTAATATACCCAACAATAAAACAATAGATCTACATTATGGGTTATGTTTATCATTGTTAAGGTGAATGTAGTCTCAAGATCACCTAGCAACCCAGAAACACTTCATGTGCTCAGTGCTAGCTAAGAGATTAAAAGAAAAAAAAAGCATAATACAAAACATTATGAATGTTAAGATGACAAATATGATAAAATAAGTATAGGAAAAATAGTCCCAAAGGGAATTAGAATAATGAACATTGTTGTTATTACCTGGTGGGATTATGAGTAGATATTTTTCAATTAAACTTTCTGTCATAATATAATGTTACTTTAAAAACTTTAGGAACACTTTTTTCTTTAATCAAGGGACATAACATGCATTACAAAGAGGATTTAGTTAGACATCACTACCAGTCTGAATAATGTCCCTCAAAATTCATGTCTATCCTGAATCTCAGATGGAATTAATTAAGATGAGGATATACTAGCCTAGGGTGAACCCTAAATCAAATGACTGGTGTCTTTTTTTAGAGGAAAGTGAGAGAAGACACAGAGACCAAGGGAAAAAGACCATGTGATGATGGAGAAAGGGATCAGAATGATGCAGCAGACAGCCAAGGACAAGCAAAGGGTTCTGACAACCACCAGAGGCTGGAAGAAGCAAGGAAGGATTTCTCTCTAGAGTCTTCAGAGAATATATGACCCTGTCCACACTTTGATTTTGGACTTCTGACCTCCAGAACTGAAAAAACTTGTATTGTTTTAAGTCTAGTTTGTGGCAATTTGTTGTAACAGCTACAGTGAACTATCACAATATCCACTTGGTCAGATGATCTTATTCAATATACAATAATAGTTTGGCTTTGATAAGACCGTCTCTTCTCCTGATTTTTATAACAAATTAGGACAGAGCACACTGAAGTTAGAGAGGTTTGTATCTAATTGCTGCTTTACTGGTAAAGCTAATCTACAGGACAAGAGTGGAACAAGAACCTACTGTAATCACACTTCTGGTCTGAACTGGAGAGATCCATTCATTTAGCTGCGATACAAAGGACTTCCTCTTCTTCCTTTGTACCACCTCTCTTACTCACATCTGAACCACAGAGGAGTCGGAAGAAAGAAGCTGAGCCAGGTACTGTTTAGTTTTCTCTGATCTGCTTAAGCAGACTGTGGAGCAGGAATGTTCTTCCCATACTTATCACTTCTGAATGTGAGGTGGAAGTTTCCTAGCCACAGTGAAATTTAACACAGAAGGCCAAGTGTTCTTCCCTAATGACAACACACAGTAAACTCCTGATGAACTTCTGAAGCATCATATCTACTCCTACTGTGGTATCCCAAAAAAGACAGGACACTGCTGTGAACACTCAATATGCATTTGTTGAGTGATTAAAACCAGATGAATAAAATGACTCATCATAAATTATACAATTAAAATATGTGTAAATATATACTTGCAATTAAAGTGTTGCATAGATTCAAAAGGACTGCACTGTTTTTTCACATTTTACTTTCTCTGATATTGGATGCATCTTATAATGACTGGTGTGTTATAGTTTAATTAGCAGTTTTCTTCTTTCTTAGCAGTACACGAAATAATTCTGCAATTATTCTCTATCTTACAACGCAGTTTTAGACCCAACAGAATATATTTAAAGAATTTAAGTTCCTTGTCATTTGCTGAAGAAAACATGTAAAACACACACAAACACACACATGCATGTACACAAATAGTCTCTCTTTCTCTTATAATCAGATGCAAAAATCTGAACTCAAAACATAATTCATCAACAGTGCTAACCTCAGGATCAAGGTTTTCAGAGAATGCATTCTTCTCAGCTTCTGGTTGTCTGCCATTCAGCCTTGGGAGGAACAAAGGTGTGGAATGTGCCTCTAATTCTTCGTGTGGGACAGTTTCTTTATCATCTCCTAAGCTATCTTTCTTCTCCCCATGGCTGTGCTTTTTCAACATGCTCCTTGGTCGAGGTGAAGGCTTAAAATGGTTGTCTGCTTCAAGGCTGCTGTTATTTTCTGCAGAAAAATACAATGCTTTAATACATTTAATACAGTAACAAAGTATATTTTTTTAAGATGATCATGGCTTCTCCTACACCCCAGGTGCCACCAAACTTCCTTCTGTTTCCAAGCACCTTGCCTCTCTGTCCTGGACAAGAACCCCACACCCTTCTCTACAAAGAACTCCAGAAAGTAAAAATAGGTCAAAAAAAATTTTTTTAATGGCTACCATTCTGAAAGTAACTAGTATACTTCACTCGTGAGTAGTGAACTATTTTACTTTCTCAACTCTCATAGTATTATTATTTTTTTTTTAACAAACAAAACCATGTCTTGATTTCAGCCTTTATAAAATGAGGCAGTTCATACATCAAACCTTTATTGAGTGTCTGCTGCCAGGCCCTGTTCACATCATTCACATTAACAGATCTCAGAACCAAGACACTGGCAATGGCCCTGTCCTAGGATTTTAGAGCTTGGGGAGGAAGATGACTGCAAACAAATAAAATTATAAGACAAAGGTAAGTGCTGTAACAAGTATGAAGATGATGTCTCGGTACAGGGGTAGAAGAGCCAATGTCCCTGGAAAGAGGAATGGAGAACTCGACAAACTCTGAGCTGCTGTCCTGAGTCCATAAAACCTCTCCAGCAGTTATTAAAATTCCTCAGTTACTATTTCCACTACTTCTAAGTTTAAAACAACAACAAACAGCAGTTTAATGCTGATATACTTCCAGCCCTCAAAACATGATATACAAGTTTTTTACATGAGCTTTTCCCTAAATTTCACCTTATATATATATATATATATCCATTTCTCCACTGTCCTACCAATGTATTCTTCTGACAAAGCTGCAAAATTGAATACCTTTCTCTTTTTTTATTTGTAATTGGGGTTATAAATCCCGCTAGAAGATTCTACAGTCAGACCTAATTGGAACCACTATAAATCTTTCACTGCCAATTTTAGGTATGTCCTAAATTCTGGTCAAATGTCCAATTTAAAATCTAAGTTATCCTAGATTCCTCCCTCAAAATCCAAAGCATCATGATACCGTATTGACTCTACCTCTAAACATCTCATTTATCGCACTTTCTATATCCCCACTGTCAGTTCCTTGTCCAGTCTTGCCTAGATAGTGCCTCAGCAACGTTTATAAAACACAAATCAGATCACACCACCCCTCTCCACAAAGTTCTTCAGTGGCTCCCCATCACCCAGTCCTGCAAGCTCATTGCCTCTGAACAATATAAAAGCTTTCATAGTCTTGTCCGTGGCTACCTGTGCTGCCACCGGCACACTCCCTTGGCAATCTGTCCTGATATGCTGGGCTCACTGTCCTTCTGCAGTTGGGCCACATCTCTATTGCCACCAAACCTTTACCCTAGTTCTTCCTTAGCCCAGGATGTCCACTTCTGGCTTCTCCTGACAAATGCTTGCTTGTCTTTGGAATCTCAGTTTAAGCAAAATATTATATAAAGCTTGATAAAAGGTTTTGAGTCTTTTTTACTGTAATAACACTTAACAGGAGATCCATTCTCTGAACAAAATTTTAAGTGCAGAATACAGTATTATTACCTAAAGGCACAAAGCCATACAGCAGAACCCTAGAACTTGTTCATCTTGCTAACTGAAACTTTACACCTTCTGACCAGCAATTCTCATTTCCCTCTCCCTCCAGCCACTCATAACCACCATTCTTACATTGAAATCTTAACCCCAAAACTGATATATTAGGAAGTAGGACCTTTGGGAGGTGATTATGTCATAAAGGCAGACCTTCATGAATGGAATGAGTGCCCTAAAAACAATGTTCTAGAAAGTTCCCTTGCCCTCTCCACCATGTAAAGATACAATGGGAAGCCTGCAACATGGTAAAGGACCCTATCCAACCATATGAGCCCTGTGATCTCAGACTTTCATATTCCAGAACTGTGAGAAACAGATTTTTATCAGTTACAATTCACCCAGTTTGAAGTTTCTGGTTGTGCTGTGCTGCTAAGCTCCTTCAGTCAGGTCTGACTCTTTGAGAACCCATGGACTGTGGCCCTCCAGGCTTCACTGTCCTTGGGATTTTCCTGGCAAGAATACTGGAATGGGTTGCCATTTCCTCCTCCAGAAGATTCTCCCAACCCAGGGATTGAACCTGCGTCTCCTGCATTGGCAGGTGGGTTCTTTACCATTAGCACCACCTGGGAAGCCGCAGTAGTATTTGGGAAGTATTTGATTACAGCAGCCCAAATGACTAAGACAGTATTGGAAGACTGGTACTGCATCTCTAAGGCTGCAGTTGTAGTTACCATCACAGTGCTTGTAACAGTGAGACATACCATACAAACAACAAATATGTGTGGATAAATAAAATGATCTTCCTATGAACAAATGCTGAATAATAAAGTGAATAGTAAAAGCATTTATAGCTTGCTTAATTTATGCCAGATTGCTCTAAACCCTTCAGATACATAAACTCATTTAATTGCCTCAAACTCCTTGTGGTGGTTCAACTATTGTCCCCTTTCACAGATAAATAAAATGAGGAACAAAGAGCTCATGTGCCCATGGTTACAAACTCTATTTTGTGGGATTACCGTGGGTGTACTGTTGCTGTAGTGCTGGTGGTGTTGCTTTGCTGTTGCTTTCAGGTTACCCTGTAAAAATTACTTTCTACAATCACCATCTATGTGACCGTTACCTGATAAAATGAAAGCGTTTGATTATTGTACTTTTTACAGCAGACAATGTAAGTCTGAATTTGGCAATAAGGAGTTCATGATCTGAGCCACAGTCAGCTCCCGGTCTTGTTTTGCTGACTGTATAGGCCTTCTCCATCTTTGACTGCAAAGAATATAATCAATATGGTTTTGCTATTGACCATCTGGTAATGTCCATGTGTAGAGTCTTCTCTTGTGCTGTTGGAAAAGGGTGTTTGCTATGACCAGAGCATTCTCTTGGCAAAACTCTATTAGTCTTTGCCCTGCTTCATTTTGTACTCCAAGGCCAGATATGCCTGTTCATCCAGTTAGCTCTTGACTTCATACTTTTGCATTTCAGTCCCCTGTAATGAAGAGGACATCTTTTTTGGGTGTTAGTTCTAAAAGGTCTTGTAGGTCTTCACAGAACCATTTAACTTCAGCTCCTTCAGCATTACCAGTTGGGGCATAGGCTTGGATTACTGAGATATTGAATGGTTGCCTTGGAAATGAACAGAGATCATTCTGTCATTTTTGAGCTTGCATTCAAGTACTGCATTTTGGACTCTTTTGTTGACTATGATGTCTACTCCATTTCTTCTAATGGATTCTTGCACATAGTAGTAGATATAATGGTCATTTAAATTAAATTTGCTCATTCCAGTTCATTTTAGTTCACTGATTCCTAAAATGTCAATGTTCACTCTTGCCATCTGCTGTTTGACCACTTCCAATTTGCCTTGATTCATGGACCTAACGTTCCAAGTTCCTATGCAATATTGCTCTTTACAATATCAGACGTTACTTCCATCACCTGTCACATCCACAACTGGGTGTTGTTTTTGCTTTGACTCTGCCTCTTCATTTGTTCTGGAGTTATTTCTCCACTGATCTCCAGTAGCATATTGGGCACCTACTGACCAGGGGAGTTCATCTTTCAGTGTCCCATCTTTTTGCCTTTTCATACTGTTCATGGGGTTCTCAAGGCAAGAATACTGAAATGGTTTGCCATTCCCTTCTCCAGTGGACCATGTTTTGCCAGAACTCTCCGCCATGACCCGTCCGTCTTGGTTGGCCCTATAGGGCATGGCTCATAGTTTTGTTGAGCTAGACAAGGCTGTGGTCCTGGTGATCAGTTTGGTTAGTTTTCTGTGATTGTGGTGTTCATTCTGTTTGCCCTCTGATGGACAAGGATAAGAGGCTTATGGAAGCTTCCTGATGGGAGAGACTGACTGAGGGGGAAACTGGGTCTTGTCGGGAGCTGGTGATCGACAGGGAAGCCTGGTGTGCTGCAGTCCATGGGGTTACAAAGAGTTGGACATGACTGAGTGACTGAGCTGAACTGAACAGCAGACAAGCGAGAACAAAGGAAACTTTCAGGTTCTAATATTTTTATAAAGCATTAAATGATATTCAGCAATATCTCATGATGTTAAAAATATTGTTGTAAATGTGATAAAGAAAAAAGTCTAAAAATTTAGAGGGTAGAGCTAAACTTGTTAACCACATTACTTCTTTAATGAATAAATTATTCATTTATATATTCAAATACTTAAAAAATTCTATGTGCCAGGCACTAACCAGCAGACTCAACTTTTTCCTTCAACTTGAGTAACCTTGGAATAATGAGTTCAAATATTTCATACCAAAATTCCACTTCCAGAAGCATCAAGTTTTCAGAAAGAAAAAAAAAGTCTATACATTATCAAAATGTCATTTCATTATCAAATATGAATGATTACTTATTTCAGTAATTATTTTTATCCTACATATACTGATTTGCAAATGGTTTTTGATTGTTCAAAAATTCAGTATTGCACATTCATAATCCTGGGGCCATCTTGTGGTCAAAGTACAGCATTTCTCTATTCATTTTAATTTGTCTCAGGTTTTAAAAAAGGTATTAGATGAATTATTGCTGATTACCAAAAAATTCTAATTATATACTTATATCTATATCAGACTAATTTTTAGCTTCTGTAGTATGCTCACAGTTTCTTATCACATAATGAAAAGCTTTTCAGAATCAGGACAAATAGGATAAACATAATCTATAAAAATAGTTTTCAAACTCAACTAGGACTAAGGAATACTACATCCTCTATCTTTCATGAAGATTCACTGTGCAAATGTCTTTACTAATGGTTCCAAGAAGTTCTGTCATAAAGAAATTAGTTTAAAATTTCTATAACTGTGTTTTCCCCTTAATACAATGAACAAACTGTGGAAATTACTGTGGGAAATGGTGATTTATTGGATTATTCACTGTTTGATTGTGTTTCCCTTCTCTGCATTTTTTATTTTACTCAGTACACTGGTAAGGTACATTTTAGCAAGTAAATTCTATCTCATTAGACCTTGTGCTTACACTTTTGTAGAAGTTTATAGCTTGAGACATACTTCAGTGTGATGTGTGTGCTGTCACGTCTGACTCTTTGCAACCCCATGGGACTATAGTCCACCTGCCAGGCTCCTCTGTCCATGGAACTTTCCAGGCAAGAATACTGGAGTGGGGTGCCATTTCCTCCTCCCGGGCGGTCTCTCCAACCCAGGGATCAAACCCACCTCTCCTGCATCGGCAGCTGGATTCTTTACCACTGTGCCACCTGGGTACATTCTTCAAACAATTCTGCATGAAGGGAGAGAAAGTTTCCTCTCCTCCTCATGAGGACAGTAAAGTGAAGTGAAGTCGCTCAGCCGTGTACAGCTCTTTGTGACTCCATAGGCTGTAGCCCACCACGCTTCTCCATCCATGGAATTTTCTAGGCAAGAGTACTGGAGTGGGTTACCATTTCCTTCTCCAGGGGACCTTCCCGACCCAGGGATCAAACCCGGGTCTCCTGCATTGTGGGCAGACGCTTTACTGTCTGAGCCACCAGGGAATCCCCGTGAGGACAGCAGGTCAGTTCAGTTCAGTCACTCAGTCATGTCCGACTCTGCGACCCCATGAACCACAGCACGCCAGGCCTCCCTGTCCATCACCAACTCCTGGATTTTACTCAAACTCATGTCCATCGAGTTGGTGATGCCATCCAGCCAGGCTTACCCTACTGCTAAGGTCATACATAATTAACATACAGTGGCTTTCTCCTTAGTATCATTGCTGATTCATATCTTCTCCTCAGTTGAAAGAGGATAGACTTGTCAGGGGTGGAAAATGGAGTGGGTCCCTAATACATATCTGAAATAAAGCTTTGCCTGAGGTTATCAGTGCTATGTAATATATAAAGAATGAAATACTTACCAGTATTGTATTTAATGATGATATAAAGGAAAGAGGTTTTGGTGAAGGTTAGTATCAACTACTATTGTTTTCCATAAAACAGAAAAAGACTGGAAGACCCCAAATCCTTCACCTTCTATGCCCTTGTTCCTGCATCGCAGCCCAGGGGATCTCATGGCAGTTGGTACCTGCTTCACTCCATCTCTGCTCTGCTATGTCCAGAGCTCAGTAGAATTGTGGAGAAACTACTATAATGGTCACACCAGGAACTCCCCCACAGAAAACAGTTTTAGTGAATTTTCCTGGGGAACAGAGACACCAAGTGTAGATTCTCCTTTCTTAAGGAAAGTCCGGAGGCTTAAACGATAAGAGTAACACCACCTCTCTCCCCCACCCCAATTTCAAATATATAAATGTCACACAGATAGTCTAGCAAATGGCTGCATGGAAATGATTCTTTAAGGACTAGCCCCAATGCTGTGCTCTAACCTAACGTCTGGAGTGTGAGCTGGATTAGAAAGGATTCCACTGTAGTTACACTGCTAAAAGCAAAATTGGAGCTCACAGGTCTAAGTGAGGCTGGATGTGGATGCTCAAAGTTCTTCCACCTCCTGCGTTCAGTCTTGCATCTCTGCTGGTGCCTGATAGGAGGCCAAAGAACTTTCAGTCATCCACATCCAGCCTCACTTAGGTCTATTACCTTCAATTTTGTTTTAACTCATAACTACAAGTTAAAATTCCATTGTGTAACTACAATGGAATCTTTTCTAATCAATCTCATGCTCCAGACATTAGGGTTAGAGCAGCACCGGGGCAGTCCTTAAAACAATCATTTCCATGCAGCCATTCGCCAGAATATTTGTTTGACATTTGTATATTTGAAATGGGGTTTGGAGGAGGGGAGGGAGAGGTGTTGTTGCTCTTATTATTTAAGCCTCCAGACTTTCCTGAGAATTACAGCTTTTCCTCTATGGTTCTGGGTTTCCTGGGTTGCACTAGTGATAAAGAACCTGCCTGCCAATACAGGAGACATAAGAGACGTGGGTTTGATCCCTGGGTTGGGAAGATCTCCTGGAGGACAGCATGGCAACTCACCCAGTATTCTTGCCTGGAGAATCCCATGGACAGAGAAGCCTGGTGGGCTATGGTCCACAGAGTCACAAAAGTCAGACACAATTGAAGCAACTTAGTACACACACATGTACCCAACCTCTACACAGCCAGGTCTCCAATTTATGGGCTTCCTTGGTGGTTCCCATAATAAAGAATCTGCCTATAATGCAGGAGACCTGGCTTCAATCCCTGGGTTAGGAAGATCCCTTGGAGAAGGGACTGGCAACCTACTCCAGTGGGTTCTTGCCCTGAGAATTCCATGGACAGAGGACCCTGGCCAGCTATAATCCATGGGACTGCAGAGTCCAACACAAGTTAGCGACTAGACCAAACCAAACCAACAAATTACCTGAAGGTGTACTTTTGATTGGAAGAATTCTAGGTTTAGTTTCCATTTTAATTTTCTCTTTTCCAACTTCCTGTTGTTCATTTTGAGATTCAGATAAGGAATTTACAACTATGCCTTCACCATCATCAAGTGCAGTGTCATCGTTTTTGATAGAGACTACTGGCTCATGTTTCCTCACATCATGGCTTGATTTCTTGGTTTTCAAAAAAGACAGTTTTGGAGAATTGTTTTCTTCATCATCTGATATGTGAAAATTATTTGTTTTTTTCTTAATTGAATTTTCATCTACTGAGGTGTCAGAAAAATCACCTAAGGAAACTGAAAAATAGAAGAGAAAAATATTTTCAATAGTACATTTTAAAGTTTTGAAGGTTACAACAATCAAAAACAATACCTTAAAGACTAGAAATTAATTTACAACTAAGAATAGATTTGGAACCCTAAGAAAACTGCTAACTTAGGCAGTCTATAAAATAAAAATTTCAATTTCATTTATTTAAAACATACTTACTGAGTAAGAATAGTATATCAAGTCAAGCACTGTGTTTGCTCTGAGAGAAGTCATTCAAAGGTTCTTCAAACTAACAATCAGTCATAGACATTTAGATTTTGGACTGCAAAACTTATTTATTAATGTTTTTCAAAAACTTCATCATATAAAATCAAGAATATTTGTAAATGGAAGAATTAACTAATAATGTTTTTCTATTAAAATTTTGGAACTGCTATTCCATCCATACTAGAGTATTAGATTTTATTATGAGAAGAATAATAAAGAATGATAACTATATAGTAATGATTTAACTATTGTTCTGGTAACTTTTACAGAGAACATTGAGAGTTATTCACTGAATATCAAAGAATAAAACACTGAAAACACTGAATTTCAAGTTCAGAATTTTGTATGTTTTTCTTGAAATGTGAATTGTTAATATCTTACATAACCAAAGAAACCAAATTAATCATACAGTAATGATATACTGCATTTATAAAACTGATTCCCTTTCACAGCCAAAAAACTTTAATTTATAAAAAGCATTATAAAAGTGATTCTGATGTACACAAAGTTCAGTTCTATGGTCCCTAATTATTACTTCACTGTAGGTCTCATAGGGTTAACCTTAAAGATGAACTCATCATCTCCAATGTAATTTACCACTGACAAGCAAATCTGCTATCAGTTAATTTTTATTTTTGTATACACATTCAGAAAAAAACAAGGACAATCATACAACTTCTTGAAAATTAAGAGTGACTTTTTATTCATTAAAAAGTTGGAGACCTAAAACCAGTGAATTCACTGGTATTTAGAATGGTGATTTTTTTTTTCCCCCCCAGGTTTGGGCTATACATCAGTAAGGACGCAAAAAGAAGAGATTTCTTTCCCCAAGTTCTCACATACCAGTCTCATCACTGTCAAAGTCATCTGAGTATTCAGAACTTCTCTGTCTGGCTGAGCGAGCTGTAATTGCTTTTATTAGCTCATCCTGAAAAGAGATAATTAAAATCAATCTCCACCCGAATGTGTACTCTTGTATGTAGAATTATTTAAACAAATAATGCTTGATTAATAACTGCTTTAAAGCTCAGATTTCATTCATCTAACAAATATTTACTGAAAGCCTTCTTTATGCCATGCACCCAAACTCTAAGAGGCAACACAGAACATCACAGATGACCCCTTTTTTCATGGAAGTTACAGTTAAATTAAACAAGACAGACAACACCAAGAAAATTAACTGAGGGACTCTATCTGGACCAGGTTCATTATAAACTGATATTTTGGAAGAAACTGGTATTCTTTATGATCTTTTGTTTCAGCATATTGCTATTAACAGATGCAATCAATATCATAGATTGAGAAGCTCAGTTCAAAATTGTAGCAACTGGACACAGAAAGCTGTTAAACCAGAAAAAAAAAAAAACAATCTTTATATGAAAATGGCAATTAGAAGTTGCTATTTAACTTTAAAAAGCTAATTTAACTTTTAGTATAGTAAGAACCTAGTATTTAGTTTGGTAGTCTTAAAGCCACACAGAAGAGCTGGTAATACTAGAGCCCAAACACAATCATCTGCAAAACCTCAAAAGAAGCATAAGATTTACTCCTGCTCTATACAGGGCTGCTCTAGGATTACTTTCAAGTCCAATATTCCCAATACAGGAATTACCTTGTAAAATCATTCAAAATAAAATTACTTTACCTGGAAAGTAGTTCTTTTGGTGACTTTTGGACTCTTTGTATATGCCAAAGTTGTGCTAAAAACTTCATCAGACATAGCGTGTTTTAATTGTCTACCTTTATAAAATGGCTAACGAATGATAGGAATAATTCAACCTCTGATGATGGCTGAAACACACAAAAAACAAGTCAGACATTTTTGCATGTTTGAGAATTTGTATTACTACATTTAATGCTTCCCTGACCCCCAGAAAAGCCAAACAAAAATAAGAAAAGCATCATTGAGCTGCATGTTCACTTAAACAGAGTTCTTGAAAATAAATAGCAAATTCTACCAACAAACTGGTTTTCAAAGAGAAAAGAAAATTCAAACTTAAGTTATCCTAAAATAGTTTTACAATTATTTTATTATCCTAAATAAGTTTTACGATTATTGCACTCACTTGAATAATGAGCGCAATGGCTTGTTACCAATTAAAACAGAAACTTTTCCACCTCTCTTCCATTCAAAAGTATAATACTGCCTCCAAAAGAGCCATACTTATTTAAAAGGCTACTTTTATTTTAAAAATGAAAAGTCTACTTTTACTTAAAAGCCATACTTTTTAAAAGAAGACTACAGTCAGCATAAAGGATCACCTAAGAGCATCATTTAAATTTTCTTTTTTCTTTCACTCGTCCCTCTCACAAAAGTATTAATACAATTGGATAAAACTAAATGAAGCTTTTCAAAATCAGTGTCAAACGGTCCCGTGAAGGTTTCCAGTTGCTCCAGGAGGAGACTGCCGGGCCGCCCGCTGCCCTCCGCTGCGCGCGGGGACCGCTCTGGCCCTACAAGGTGACGCCCTGTTCCTGACCGCTCGGCCCATCGCGGCCGACCCAGCAGCCGCCACTAGCCAGGCCAGTGCACAGCCGAGCGTGGCCCCGGCCGCAGTTCTCCGAGACCCGCAAGTCCCGCCTTCTGTACTCACCTGGCGTTCCTGCGGAGGGTAGCCCGCGCGCGACCCGAGAACCCAGCGGCTGGCCCCTCTACTCGGCCTGCGCCTGGCTGCTTTCAGAGACCTGGCTTCTCAGGGAGCGAGGAGGCGGGACTAAGGACGGAGTTGGGGGGGCGGTTGCTAGGATACAAGATCCCTGGGAGGAAGTGACTTCTCCCGCCCCAGGCCTCGGGTACCTAACACCGCCCTACAGCCCTACGTGTCACTGAGGCCACCGCCCAGAGGAAGGAAATGACGTCAGCCCTCTGGGTCTGCGGAGAAGGGTGTTTTACCTGTCGCCTGTGCTTCAGTTGTTACCTAGGAGACAGGACCCGTCCGGCTCCCTGAGAGTTGGCGCCTGCGCACTGAGAGTTGGCGCCTGCCAGTGGCGTGACGGGCTTCATCAGCGCAAAGCATATCCCTTGTTTTGCCACAGTTGTCACAGACATGAAGTTCTGTGAATCGGAGTAGTGTGCTGATGGACTAACGCACTGACAGATGGGACAGAAAGGCAAGATCATGAGGTTAGCAGGCTCAGGAATCAAACGGCACATTGGAATCCTGGCACACCTCTCTCTGTCCATGTGATCTCCTGCAAGTTAAGGGCTTGTATACCTTAGTTTCCGCTTCTGTATTAAAAAGAAGAAGAAGGCAATAATATTAATAGTAACCTTAATAGCCATAAAGAAAGCTGAGTGCCAAAGAATTGATGCTTTTGAACTGTGGTGTTGGAGAAGACTCTTGAGAGTCCCTTGAACTGCAGGGAGATCAAAACAGTTCATACTAAAGGAAATCAGTCCTGAATATTCATTGGAAGGACTGATGCTGGAGCTGAAACTCCAATATTTTGGCCACCTGATGTGAAGAACCGACTCACTGGAAAAGACTCTGATGCTGGGAAAGATGGAAGGCAGGAGGAGAAATGGGACCACAGGTGATGAGATGGTGGCATGGCATCAACGTCAGGGTGGGTCGACATGAGTTTGAGCAAGCTCCTGGATGTTGGTGATGGACAGGAAAGCCTGCCCTGCTGCCGTGCATGGGGTCGCAAAGAGTCAGACACTGAGTGACTGAACAGAAGTGCACTGGCTAACAGCGTTGCTGTTGAGTATTGAACGAAGTTATGCAGATGGAATACTTGGAAGATCGCCTGGGATCGCATTCCATCCGTGGTAGATGATACTCTGTGTAACAGCCACCAAGGGCCTGGGCAGAAGGCGTTCCTTGTCCACAAAGCTGAAAAGCCATTCCAAGTGCTTCTTTAATGTAAATGCTTTGTGTATGTACTCAGTGGATATTCTAGCAAAAAGTAAATCAGTCAACAAAATGATCTAAAAAGGCAGAGGACTGTGTGCTGAAAAAGTAACCAAAAATAACAGCACTTAGCTAGCATAGGTAATCCTTAACAAAATAAACAAAAGAAAAAGACACTTCTTTAAAGACTTTAAAATAACAAGGATTTCTACTATTTTTTTAGTTTAGAAGAAGCTTAATCCTAATTGAATTGTCTGAATTTATTATCCATTGACTAGTAAATTAAACTTGTTCTCAATATTTTTCCTCCACCTCTGAATTTTTTTCACTTCAACAATTATTTATAAAGAAATCACAGTGGATACAAGTTTAATAAATCAATATGTTGAAACACTAAATGTGCATAGCAAGTAATACTAAATTTAGTTTTTTAAAAAACCAGTTCATGCTTTTAACAATCTGTGCAATGCAACTTTTTAAATACAGTATTCAGTTTATACTTAACTAGTTTGAAAAATTTAGTTTCATCAACATTTGCTTAACTTCGATGTTTTCAAGAACTTCTTTTTAACTTTTTCCTTTGTATTGAATTATATATAGCTGATTATCAATGCTATGATAGTTTCAGGTGAACAGTTAAGGGGCTCGGCTTCTCACATGCATGTATGTATTCTCCCCCAAATGCCCCTTCCATCCAAGCTGCTACATTACATTGAGCGGTGTTCCATGTGCTATACAGTGAGTCGGTTGTTGTTGGTTATCCATTTTAAATATAGCAGTGAGTACACATCCATCCCAACTCACTATCCCTTTCCCTCATGCTTTCTCCCCTACAACCATAAGATTGTTCTCTAAGAGTAAGAGTGTCTTCCTGTTTTGTACATTCATTTGTATCATTTCTTTTCAGATTCCATTTATAAGGGGTGTCATATGCTATTTTTCCTTCTCTGTATGACTTACTTCACTCACTATGGTAATCTCTAGGCCCATGTTGCTGAAAATGGCATTAGTTTATTCTTTTAATGGTTGATTAATATTCAATTGTATATGTATACCATATCTTCTTTATCCATTCCTCTGTCAATGGACATCTAGGTTGCTTCCGTCTTGCTATTGTAAGCAGTGCTTCAATAAACATTGGGATGTCTGTATCCCTTCAGATCATGTTTTTCTCTGGGTATATGCTCAGGAGTGGGATTGTGGCACCCTGCCTATGACCATATGGTAACTCTATTTTTAGCTTTTTAAAGAACCTATATACTGTTCTCCATAGTGGTTATACCAATTTACATTCCCACTAACAGAGTAGGAGGGTTCCCTTCTCTCCACATCTCCTCCAGCATTTATTGTTTGTGCATTTTTGGATGGTAGCCATTCTGGCTGGTATGAGGTGATATTTCATTGTAGTTTTGATTCATATTTCTCTAATAAATAGCAGTGTTGAACATTTTCATTTTCATGTGCCTCTTGACCATCCATCTGAATATCTTTTTGGAGAAATATCTATTTATGTCCTCTGTTATTTTGTTGATTGTGTTGGTGTTGTTTGTTTTGATGCTGCTAAGTATCATGAGCTGTTTGTAAATTTTGAGGACTAATCTCTTGTTGGTCACATCATCTGCAAATATTTTCTCCCAAACAGTGGGTTGTCTTTTCATTTTGTTTATTGTTTCCTTTACTGTGCAAAAGCTTTTGAGTTTAAGTAGGTCCCGTTTGTTTTTGTTTTTATTTCCATCATTCGGGAACATGTATCAAAAAAAAATATTGCTGCAATTTATTCAGAGAGTGTTCTGTTTTCCTCGAGGAGTTTTATTTTGTGCAGTCTCACATTTAGATCTTTAATCCTTTTTGAGCTTTTTTTTTTTTATATGGTATTAAATAATTATCTAATTTAATTTTTTTACATGTAGCTGTACAGATTTCCCAGCACCATTTGTTGAAGAGACTGTCTTTCCAACATTGTATAATCTTGCCTTCTTTAACGTAGATTAATTGACCATAGGTGTGTAGGTTTATTTCTGGGGTTTCTATCTTGTTCTATATCTATTTTTGTGCCAGTATCATACTGTTTAAATGACTATAGCTTTGCAGTATAGTCTGAAATCAGGAAGCCTAATTCCCCCAACTAGNACTTGTGGCTGCAGACCATCTGCTGAGATGGCTTGCAGAGGAGATAGTGAGGTGGTTCCTTCAAGGCAAAGAAACTAAAAATGAGCTTGTAAAGTCTTTGTCAAACTGAATCTAGTGACTTTTCCCTCAAACTTATGAAACAAAGAATAATGAATTACATTTTGCTACATCAATCTTCTGGATTTTAGAAACCTCTGCTGAGAGTTTTTCTCTGATCGGCCCACTTGACTTCTGATTGCTAGTGAGCTAACTATGGTGCTGGAGAAGACTCTTGAGAGTCCGTGAACAGCAAGGAATCACACCAGTCAGTCCTAAAGGAAATCAACCCTGAATATTCATTGGAAGGACTGAGGATGAAGTTCCAATACTTGAGCCACCTGATGCAAACAGCCGACTCATGGGAAAAGACCCTGATGCTAGGAAAGATTGAAGGCAGGAGGAGAAGGGGATGACAGAGGATGAGATGGTTGGATGACATCACCAACATGATGGACATGAGTTTGAGTAGGCTGTGGGAGTTGGTGGTGGAGAGGGAAGCCTGGTGTGCTGAAGGTCATGGGGTCAAAAAGAGTTGGACAAAACTGAGCAACTGAACTGACTTTATCTCTTACAATAGTCTTTGTTTTGAAGTCTATTTTGTCTGATGTGAGTATTTCTACTCCAGCTTTCTTTTGATTTCCATTAACGTGTAATACCTTCTCCCATATTCTTACTTTCAGTCTGTAAGTATTCCTAGGTCTGAGATGGATCTCTTGTAAACAATGTATATGGGGTCTTGTTTTTGTATCCACCCAGCCAGTCTATGTCTTTTGATTGGTGCACATAATCCATTTATCAATGTGTATGATCCTATTACCATTTTCTTAGTTGTTTTTGTTTTGTTTTGTTTTGTTTTGTTTTGTAGGTCTTTTCTTTCTCTTGTGTTTCCTGCCTAGAGAAGTTCCTTTAGCACTGGATGTAAAACCAATTTGGTGGTGCTGAATTCTCTTAACTTTTGCTTGTCTGTAAAGCTTTTGATTTCTCCATCAGATCTGAATGATAGTCTTGTTAGATAGAGTATTCTTGACTGTAGGTTATTCTCTCTCGTCACTTTAAATATATGGTGCCATTCCATTCTTTGGGCTTCCCTGGTGGCTCAGCTGGTAAAGAATCTGCCTGCAATGCAGGAGACCTGGGTTCAGTCCCTGGGTTGGGAAGATCCCCTGGAGAAGGGAAAGGTAACCCACTCCAGTATTCTGGCCTGGAGAATTCCATAGACTGTGTAGTCCATTGGGTCACAAAGAGTCGGACTTGACTGAGCAACTTTTACTTCACTTCCCTTCTGGCTTGTAGAGTTCCTGTTGAGAAATCAGCTGATAATCTTATAGGAGTTCTCTTGTATGTTGTCATTTTTTCCTTGTTGTTTTTAATATTTTATCTTTGCTTTTAGTTTTTGTCAGTTTGTTTACTATGTGTGTTCTTCCTTGAGTTTAGCCTACCTGGGACTTTCTGTGCTTCCTGGACTTGGTTAACTGTTTCTTTTCCTTATGTGATGAAAATTTTCAGCTATTATCTCTTCAAATATTTTCTCGGATCCTTTCTCTATCTCTTCTCCTTCTGAGACCTGTATAATGAGAATGTTGGTGCATTTAATGGTGTCCTAGAGGTCTCTTAGGCTGTCTTCATTTCTTTTCATTCTTTTTTCTATTGTTTTGCAGCAGCAATTTCCACCATGTTGTCTACCAGGTCACTTATCCATTCCTCTACCTCAGTTATTTTGCTATTGATTCCTTCTAGTGCATT